CTCCGTTATGCATAAATTGGACTTCACCAGAATTAAAAACTTTTGTGCTTCAGTGACACCATCAAGAAAATGAGCCCTGGCTGGTGTGGCTCAGTGGACTGAGTACAGGCCTGAGAACCAAAAGGTCACTGTTTCAATTCCCAGTGAGGGCACATACCTGGGTTGCGGTCCAGGTCCCCAGTTGGGGCATGTAAGAGGCAACCAGTCAACATCTCTCTCACACATCAATGTTTCTCTCCCTCCTTCTCTCTCCCTTCTCTCTCTAAAAGTAAATACATAAAATCTGAAGGAAAGAGGGAAGGGAGGAAAGGAGGGAGGGAGGACAGGAAAGAAAAGGAAAAGAGAAAGAAAAGCCCCCCGGCAGGTGTGGCTCAGTTGGTTGCAACGTCATCCCATAAACTGAAGGTTTGCAGGTTCGATTCCTGGTCAGGGCACATGCCTAGGTTGCAGGTTTGGTCCTTGGTTGGGGCATACACGAGAGGCAACCGATCAATATTTCTCTCCAGCATCAATGTTTCCCTCCCTCTTTTTCTCCATCTTTCCCTTCCTTCCATTCTCCCTAAAATCAATAAGCATGTCCTCCAGAGAGGATTAAAAAAAAGAAAGTGAAAAGACAACTTTCTTTTGGAGGCAATTTTTGCAAATTATATATCTGATAAGGTACTTGTTTCTAGACTATAACTCATAACTTAACGATAGAAAAATAACCCAATTTTAAAATGGGCAAAACATTTGAACAGACATATCTCCAAAGAAAATATACAGTTGTCCGCTAATCACATAAGATGCTAAATACATCATTAGTCATCAGTGAAATGCAAATCAAAACCACAATGAGATATTACTTCACACCCACAAGGATGGCCAAAATCAAAAAGTCAGAGAATAACAAGTGTTGACAAGGATGTGGAAAAACTGAACCCTTATACACAGCTGGTGGGATTGTAAAATGGTATAGCTGATTTAGAAAACAATCTGGCAGTTCCTTTAACAGCTATACACAGAGTTACCAGTAAGACCTAGCAATTCCCAAGAGAAATGAAAATATATGTCCATACAGAAACTTGTACATGTATGTTCACAGCAACATTACTCCTCATGGCCAATAAGGGGAAACATTCAATGTTGATTGACTGATGAATGGATAAACAAAACATTACATGTATCCATACAATGTAATATTATTCAATCATAAAAAAAAAGAATGAAGTACAGATACATGCTACAACATATATAAACCTTGAAAACATTATGCTTAATAAAAGACAGATACAAAAGACCCCTTACTGTGTGATTCCACTTACATGAAATGTCCCAAATCAGCAAATCCAGAGACAAAAAGTAGATTAGTGGTTGCCTAGGGCAGGGGAGGCAGGAGAATGAGGCAGAAGAGATTGCTAATGGGTGTGGGTTTTCCTTGGGGGCTGATAAAAATATTCTACAACTGTAGTGATGACTGCACAACTCTGTGAGTGGACTAAAAACCAATGAACTGTACACTTCAAATGAGTGAATTGTATGGCATGTGAATTATAACTCAATAAAGTGGTTATAAAACAAAAAAGAGCCCTGAATGCTGTGGCTCAGTTGGTTGAGCACCCTCTCACAAAGCAAAAGATCACAGGTTCAATTTCCAGTCCAGGAACATACCTAGGATGCAGGTTCAGTCCCTGGTCAGGGCACATATGAGAGGCGACCAATTGATGTTTCCCTCTCACATTGAGGTTTCTCTCCCTTCCTTTCTCCCTCCCTTACCCTCTCTTTAAAAATAAACAAAAATCTTTTAAAAAATTAAAAAACAAAAAAGACTCCATTATACACTATTAAAATACAAAATAAGGTCTCAAAAAGGAGTATATAATCTTGTTCACTCACTTTAAAGGATCTGAACCAGGGCAATGAAAACCCAGGGAGATTCTGTTACTTAACATTCTAGGTACTAGGTCATACTGAAATATTCATGACGATTCCCATGTTTTAATACAGAAAAGGCATCCTAAGTTTTAAAAGTCACATAAGTGTCAGAAAAGAGTTCATAATTCAAAACAACACAGGGAACTCATCAAATAGAAAACACACACACAGATCTGTACCCCAAATATGAAGCTGGCACTCAATTTATTACTTTTCCACCTCTGAAAAAGAAGTCAAAGATAAAACAGTCCAGTTAGTAATAATATTTCCAGAGCACCAGTTTGTGGTGAATCAAAGTATTAAGAAATAATTTGCCATTACATAAAGAACTGAATCTTCCATTCTCCATCATGTAGCTAAAAACTAATAGTTTATCCCCTGGAACATTCTATTTCATAGACAAGAGAGTGATCCTCCTTCTCCTGGTTGGCGTGGATCTCCAAGGGTATAGATGTATTAAGTGTAAAACTTACCTAAGAAAAAAATCCAACAGTGTTTAAAAAGTGCTACATCTCAATCCTAAATCTAATCCTAATCTATATATAAAGTAATAGACATAGATGCTGGTTAGCACAATCTACAGGCAAAGTAACAAAAATTTCAATACTGGTCCTGGCCACATAGCTCAGTTGTTTAGAGTGTCATCCCAATACACCAAAATTGCAGGTTTCATCTCAAGTCAGGGAACATACAACAGTCAACCAATGAATGCATAAATAAGTGGACAAAAGTCAATCTTTCTCTCTCTCTAAAGTTAATAAATTAAAAAATAAAATTTAAAGGAAAATTTGCCCGGACTGGTGTGGCTCAGTGGATTGGACGTCATACTACAAACCACAGGGTCACAGGTTTGATTCCCAGTCAGGGCACATGCCTGGATTGTGGGCCAGACCCCCCGTTGGAGGGGGTGGGAAGCAACAGAACAATGTTTCTCTCTCTTTCTTCCTTCTATCCCCTCTCTAAAAATAAATAAAATCTTTTTTAAAAATTAAAAAAGGGAAATTCAATACTGTGTGCAATGATATCTCATTGGTATGTATCTATTAAAATTCATCAGACTTAATTACCTTCCACAAATAATCAAAAACAAATAGAGACAGGGCACGTTCCAGATTTGTCATAAAGGTGTGTATCCGACCTTTATACCAATCTTTGTTCATTCCTCAGTACACCTGACTACTATTACCTACCACAAAACATTGTCCTCAAGACCTAACACACAACACAATTTCCAGTTTTATTTGACTTTTTTTACCTCTATTTATTTATGCAACCTCTCAGACCTAAAGGTTACTATTAGGTTTCATATCCAAAAACTGCAACTCTGAAATGTATCTCCAAGCCAAAAACATTAGTTTCCTTAAATTCGTTTTCTGAAATATACAGAATCAAGTCCAAAATACATACACCCATCTCTCTGCCTTCACAATTGAACAGACGGTACAAAACAACTGCTTATACTTAATCATGTCTCTGACTATTCTAGCATGCCCTGGTGTCAGGAGAGAGTTTTGCCAGAGGAGGACAATGAAATTCATTATTATATAGAGTGACTAAGAGCCCTACAAGTACGGTTTTAGAATGTAATCCCAGGCAAGAAGGCTCCGGTAGGAGAGCCCTAGTATTTCGTGATAACTATTTCCAAAAGTAAATATATTCGCCACCCAGTACCAGTTTAAAAACACACACTGTGTTAAATTCTTTTCAAATGTCTTATAGGTAAGCAAGGCCTTTGTATCTTGCTATCCTGAGAGAGATGAACAACTTGTAATTTGCCTCTCACACCAAATCCCACGTTTGCAACATGTAGAGCAAGGGCTTCAGACACCACAAAACAAGGGCAGCCTACATTAAGGCCAAATATAGGATGTGTTTCTAAACCACCATGCAGTAAAGCTTACGTTTCCTTTTCCAGCGATCAAAACCCTTTGAACACTCCCAAAAAAGGACGGCAGGGCCAGCGCCTCTCTCCAAGAGGAAGCCCCTTTCTTCTCAGCTCTCCCGCAGCCTGCCACTTCCCCCAACACGTTCAAATCGTTTAAGACAGGGAGAGCTGATGTGTGTGCGCCTGTGTCGACCGGCGGGAGAGCTCGGTTCCTGCATTTCCACCCTCAACATCTGACCTCATCCTCAGTCATTTAAGCGCAGGGAAGCCCCACCTGCACCTTGCTCCTTTTTACTGCGTCCCTCGCCAGCTGCTTCGCTATTAGGGGAGCACATCTCTGAATCACCCAGGTCACCCAGACACTCCAGGCCCCCCGACCCTGCAGCATTCCTGCTTCATTCTTCCTCTCCCGACCGCCCTTCCCCACCACCACCCCCTCCAGTCCCAGCCCTCCGCTCCCAACGCCGGGCTCATCCCCTTCCCAAACCGCCCCCACCCACATTACTCTAGCTCTGGCCCTGTTCCGCCCTTTCTGACCCCTAACCCAGATCTTCAGGGCCCGGAGCCAGCCTCGCACCCAAAGCTAGGCAACCCCCCGGGCCAGAGTCACCCTCACCCCTCCTACGCAGGGCCCAGCTCGCCCCCGCCACACATGAACCCGAACGCTGCCCACCCCCACCCACTTGCTCCCAAGAGCCCCTCCAACTCCGTCCCCAGGTCTGACGCCCCGTGACTCTACGCCCTAGCCTCTAGCAGCCCCTCCCCATCCAAAACCCCACCCAATCAGACAGGTCCCGGACCCCTAAAAACCTTCCTCGGCCAGCACAGACCGCACTCAGTCCGCAGCTCCTCACGCGGCAGGAAGGTTTCCGAACCCCTAAAAGCCTCCCTTGGGCAATCTCCCCTCCAAAAGGGACCCGGGTTCACTCTCCCCCAGCCAGGCGCTTCTGTCCCCAACTCTCTCCTCACCCAGGCCCCGAGCCTCCGGCAGCAGCCCTGACCCCAAACCCCCGCACACCGCCCAGGGTGAGCCCCGGGTCCAAGGACCCGCACCCCGTGCAGCCACCCAGTCCACTCCCCTACACCCGGCCCTGCCCGCAGCCCCGCCGGTTCCTGTCAGCTGGCGCCAGCACTTGCTGAGAGGACAGGTCCGCCCGCCCGGCTCGCTCCCAAGCGGCCCCGCCAGGCGCGCGCTGCTCACCAGGGCCGAGGTGCCTCAGGCGCCGCCGCCAAAGTCCCCGCTGCAAATCCCGACGAAGCCTCCAACCGCTGTCGCCTCCCGCCTGGCACTGAGAGCGGCGCGGGGGAGGGGCGTGGGCAGCCGCCCCCGCCCCCACCGCCACACGCAGGCTCCACCCCGCGCCGCACCGCGCCCAACCAGAACCGTCGGGCTGAGGCGCGCCACGCCCACTTCCGGCAGGAAAGTGCTGATCCCACCCGGCGATCCACGCCTCACTCTCTCTAACGCCCCCTCTGGTCGCTCTGAGGGATGCAGGAGGGCCGCAGAGGAAGGCCCGGCCCAGGCGCACTTACCGCCCGCTAATCAGCTAGGAGGCCGGAGGGCCACGCCCACTGCTCCTCCTAACCGGGAGCGGCGGTCTTAGAGCCCCGCCCACTGACCTGCTTGGCTTTGCAGGGCCACATGCGGGGCTCTTCGAAGATTCCTCCAGAGCTCTTTAAAAACCGGAACATCAGGTCCACTGAGCCCCGCCCACTAACCCAACCAACCCCTCAGCCAGCCTCCAGGCTCCCGGAGCTGGGGTCCCCGCCCATTGCTTCAGAACCGACCTATCGGCACCACAAAACTCCGAAGCAAATTCTAGAAGACCCGCCCATAGACTAAGCACCCAACTTGCAAGCCCCGCCCACTTCCAATCTAAATGCTTAGAACGCCAAACTCCGCCCCAAGTTCTCGAATCCCCGCCTCTGGCGGCCTAAGCTCCTCCTTTGCTCCCTGTATCCCTTCCCACCGCCGCCTCTGGGGACTCCAGTTACTCTGGCTCTACCCCCACTTTCCATTGTTGTATTCCTAGTACAGGGTGGCTGAACCTGAGCTGGGCCACTCCCATATATCCCCCGCCCCTGAAAGGAGGGCCTGTCTTGACCCCATTTCGCAGGTGAGGAAGTGAAGAATGCACGGTCCCTCCCTTCCTTTTCCTGGTCAAAGTCCCTCAGTCTTTTGCTTAATAATTAGACTGCCCCAGCCTGAAAGTCTGGGCACCGGGATTGAGCGCCAGCTCTGCTGCTGTCAGACTGTGTCCTGGGGGCAGTTTCTTTCACCTCTACAAGTCCAAATTTCCTGATCGTTAGCGTAAAATTGTCTTAATAATAGCCAGAGTCCCCTTCTAAAATACCAAACTCTGAAGTACCAAGATTTGGGGAAACTGGGCGAAGCTCAGAGATAGGGCTATTTACTTCCCGAAGCAAGGTATCTTTGCAATTGACAGGGGAATCTTTTATTTTAAGCATCCGCCTGAGAAATGTGCATTATGTAAAACAATATCCACCTGAACCAAAACAGCTATCACAGCAAATTACCTACCCTCTCTAAGCCTCAGTCTATCAGTAAAATAGGGATACTGTAGTAGCAGCCCCACCCCTGAAGGAAGGATTCCATGAGCCCACTGTTAACAATGCACTCAGCAGGCCCTGGACCGTGTGACCTAGTAGTGGGAGCGTCACCGGTAACCGAAAAGATTCGAGTTCAATTACCCATCAGGGCGCATATCTATGTTGCGGTTCCGCCCCTGGTCAGGGTGTGCGATCCCCGGTATAGGCAAATGTGGAACGCAACTGTGTTTCTCCCTACACTGATGTTTCTCTCTCTCCCTTCCTTTCCCTCTAAAAGCAACGGGAAAAAATGGTGAGGATTTTAAAATACATGCACTCCGCAGGGTGCCTGACTTGTAACAAGCCTTCAGCAAATGTACCTGTTGCCGTTACTGCTGCGCTTCACTAAGGGAGGATGCATTTCACTTTGCGTTGAAACAACCACTGACTGCAGGAGGGACTGAGCACTCTTTTGGTGAGTAGACGTGGCTACTCACTACATTTAAATGAGATGAAAGTGGCTAAGCATCTAGGGCAGTGCCTGGTATGTGGTGATGCACAAAAAATGATGGACCATTATGATGGTTCCTTCTTTAATGAAACAAGGACATTGAGAGCAGGTGAGTTCTGCGTGGCTCTGGGAAAATGAAGGCTGATAAAGCACCCTGAGATGGAACTGGGAACCAAACTGGCTTACTCTTTGGTAACAGATTATGGCCAACATATTCCATCACTAATATGTGCCAGTCACTCTCTCCGTGATTGAAACGCAAAATCTTCTAAAATCCTCTCCATAATACTATGGTGCCAAAACAATTCTTAACCCTCATCTATAAAAGGTAAAGAAAATGAGAAGTTAAATTACTTGTCCAAGGTCACAAAGCCTGAGCCAGGGGAACTAATGATAGAACTGACATTCCCCTAATTACAGAGTCTGCACCCTTAGCCAGTTAGTTGTTACATTAAACTGCCTCTATGGTGGTGTGACAAACACACACGTGCACGCACACACACACACACACTCACACCAGATCTTGGATTCTAAGAGTCTTTGCTCTAAATTCAGGCTCTACTACTTCCTAGCTGTGTGACCTTGGGCAAGTCACTTCTCTGAGCCCGACTCCCCTCTGTGTAGTATTGTTCATCCAAACACGAGTGGCTTTGAAGATTCGAGAGTTTAGATTCAATGAATTGAGACAGGGCAAAGCAAAGCGTCTGGCACAAACTAGGTGTTCAAAGCTTAAAGTATGTTGATTTCCTTCTCCTAGTTCTTTAAATGATGAAATTAGAAGTAAAATTTTCCATGACACTCATTCCTCCCCGTGACACCACCATAAGGCAGCCACAGAATACGCTGTGAAAGAAAAATCCCAAGACCTTTGCCTTCCAGCTGCCTGTTTCAGCTCCTGGTTTTATCCCTGGTTTGAGGGAGGTAATTTTTACAGAGGAAGCATCCAAAGCCAGAGCGATGCCACCTCATCACCCCACCCCACACCTGCTCCAAATGTCAATGGAGAGCTGCTGTTCCTAGAAGCAGGAGGAAAATTGCAAAACCCCTTCTATGCTGAGAGAAAACCCCCATCATCTCGCCGTTCTTGAATCCATAGCAACGTCTTTGTGGGCCCTGAGGAAATCTTGGCTCCATCCAAGCTGGCCCTGAATGGAGGGTTTAGGTCTAGGTAAGATGCTGGGTTTGAGAGTTCTTTCCTGCTTCCAAAAGATGATGGTTCTTAAAGTGACCCAAGAGAGATGCCAATGATGAATTTAATAATCAGGAAAAAGAAGAGTGATTCCAAATCACTCACATATGAAGAAGAAGGAATTCTGGGACCTGCCTTCGGAGGCTCCTGAGCAAATCATTTTTCCAGCTTCTCAGTAGCAAAGAGGGGACATTATTCTTAGATTGCCAGGGCAACCTGGAAGCTGAGTGAATTGCCCTATGGAAGTATGAGCAAATAATAATAATAGTAAATAAATGAGAGACGGGAAGCCCCTGGAGTCACCTCAGTAGGCGAGACCCCTGAGTGACAGAAGAGGACAAAGCTCAGACAACATTAAAATTCACTCTACATTGATAAATCTTGATCATCACTGCTCTGAGTGCGGCTTTCTGCGAACTAAAAGCAGGAAATGATAGGCTGGCTAAGGAAGGATGTGTTGTTTAATTCAATTTTTTTATTTCGAGATGATTGTGGATTCACATGCAGGTGTAACAAATAATACAAGGAGATTGAGTGTACCCTTTACCCAGTTTCCCCCTGTGGTGGCATCTTGCAAAACTGTAGTACAATATAACAACCCAGGACTGACACTGATACAGTCGAGATACAGAGCATTGCCATCCCGCAAGGACTCCACATATCGCCCTTTTAGAGACACACCTATTTCCCTTCTGCCCCCTCCCCTTCCTTAATCCCTAGCGACCACCTCTCTGTTCTCAATTTCCATAATATTGTTACTTCAGAAATGACAATTCATACACTATGTAACCTCTTGGCACTAGCTTTGTTCACTCAGTATAGATCTCTAGACACGTGTCCGGGTAGTTGCATGTATGAATAGTTTGTTCCTTATTATTGCTAAGTAGTATTCCCAAGGTATGGATGTATCAGTTTGTAGAACCATCCACCCACTGAATGAAACCTGGGTTGATACCGGTTTGGAGCAGTTTACTATGAATAAAATTGCTATAAGCATTAGAAACATTCATGTGCAGGTTTTTTGTGTGAGCGTCAGTTTTCATTTCTCTGTAAAAAATGCCCAGGAGTACAATTGTTAGGTCATATGGTAGCTGTGTGTTTTGTTTTTTAAGGAACTGCCAAACTACTCGCTATAGTAACTATATCATTTTACATGCCCACCCACCAGCAAGCTATGAGTGATTGAGTTTCTTTGCATCTTCACCCACATTTGGTGTTATCACTATTTTTTATTTGAGCCTTTCTGATAGGTGTATCTCATTATGGCTTTAATTTGCATTTCCCTGATGACTAATAATGTTGAAAACCTTTTCATGTACTTATTTGCCATCTTTATATCTGTATGTCTTTACATCTTTTGCCAATTTTTTAAAAATATATTTTATTGATTATGCCATTACAGTTGTCCCATTCTCCCCCTTCATTCCCCTTCACCCTACACCCCCTTCCCCCACCATTCCCCCCCTTTAGTTTTTGACCACGTGTCACAAGTTCTTTAGATTCTATATTTCCCATACTATTCTTGCCCTCCCCCGTCTATTTTCTACCTACTGTCTATGCTACTTATTCTCTGTACCTTCTCCCCCCTTCTCCTCTCCCCCTCTCCTTTCACTAACCCTCCATGTGATCTTCATTTCTATGGTTCCGCTCCTGATCTAGCTGCCCTCTTAGTTTGCTTTTGTTTTAGGTGTGGTTGTTAATAACTGTGAGTTTGCTGTCCTTTCACTGTCCATATTTTTAATCTTCTTTTTCTTAGATAAGTCCCTTTAACATTTCATATAATAAGGGCTCGGTGATGATGAACTCCTTGAACTTGACCTTATCTGAGAAGCACTTTATCTGCCCTTCCAATTCTAAATGAAAGCTTTGCTGGATAGAGCAATCTTGCATGTAGGTATTTGGATTTCATGACTTGGATACTTCTTTCCAGCCCCTTCTTGCCTGTAAGGTCTCTTTTGAGAAATCAGCTGACAGTCTGATGGGAACTCCTTTGTAGGTGACTGTCCCCTTATCTCTTGCTGCTTGTAGGGTTCTCTCCTTCATTTTAATTTTGGCTAATATAATTA